CCATTCTCTGCAGACTGCCCTGCTCAGAGAGAGCCCCTGTCCTCTGCCCAACAAGCCTCTGCAACTTTGGATTTTGGGGGATCTTGCTTTCTTTGTTCTTCTAAGGCCCCTGGATGGATTGCACAGTTCCTGGTTAATCCTCAATTGTATTCGAGCGCAGCACATAAATAATTTGCCATTGAAAAATTAAAGGTCTTCCTGCCACAGGAGTAGTGGGAAGTTGGCAGAGGAAAGAGCCAGCTTGCCCTCTGCGACAATAGCATCTGTCACCTAGTCTAACTTCCTGAGAGTGCGGAACGTGATAAAAGGATTGGACTCAGCCTTCGCTCAGCACCTAGCACACTTATTTAGGTGCAATATCCCAATCCTGTTGTGTAAGTGAACAGATTCGGTTGTGTTCATCCACATAGAAAGGTTGGGTGTTTGTTTCACAAAATACCCAGTGTATATGAAGTTCCAGAATCCATTATATCTGATACAGTATGGCAGGTAAATTGATAGAAAATTAATTGGAAGACGGTTCCAAACATAATAACTCAGCAGAAACATCCAGAATCAATTAATCAAACTGCAACTCATTTTAATTGGACATCCTCTAACCTGGAGAAGTCGTTGGAATGCCTAATTAAGCTTTCAAGCCTAACCCTATTTACATGAGCCATATTTTCCTGAACAGCTACATCTTAAAATGAGAGGTTAGTAACTTGCAGCCTAATGGTAAAGTAGAAATCTTCAATATCCATGTGCTGCACATGTTTATTTAATTGGACATCACATTTTCTTGGTAATTTAAAAATGTAATTTAAAGCTATTTGATTAGGCAAACATTAGCTCTTTAAAAGGGCTTCCCAGGTGGTTTAGTGGTAAAGAATCGCCTGCCAATACAGGAGACGCAGGTTTGATACCTGGGTCGGGAAGATCCCCTAGAGAAGGAAATGGCAACCCACTCCATGCCTGGGAAATCCCGTTGACAGAGGAGCCTGGTGGGCTACCATCCATGGGATCGCAAAGAGTCAGACACTCAGTCGTGTCTGAGCACACACACACGAAACTCTTTAAAGAATCAAGAAATCTTATTTACAAACTGTGTTGATTTTCCTCTCACTATTACAGATGCTGTTTAAGCATGCATTTCACACGTATGTACATGTATTTCTACCTGTGAATATCCCCGTCTTCTGACCTTCCTCTCCACTTGGTGTCTATTTCTACCTCTGACATCATGCTATGCCCATGTCTCCCTTCCTAAACCCATTACTAGACCGTGAGATCTGTGAGACCAAGACCCACTGATATAACTCTGTACCTCCAGTATCAGACAGTGTCCAGAAAAGAGCTGCTAAATTATCTTACCCAGGACTGAAATGCCATTGAAATCGAGTGATCCGAGGAGAAGAAAATGAAACTCTTCTTTTTTGACCGGGTTTTGGTGTGGAGAGGCAGGAGGCGTCCCCAACTGTAGGTTTTTGTCTTCACTCTGCCTCTGACTAAACGTGTTTATTCTGAAATTTCTCAGCTATGCCCACGGGCTAGTCCCTGAACTTGTCTGTGCCTCTAGTTTCTCATCTGCAACAAAAACAGCAGAAAACAAACAAGAATGAATGAGTTGGAGCTGATGAAAATGGATGTCTTTTAAGTTGTTGGACTCCAGGTTATTTAGTTATTATTATGTCACTGGCAGACTGAGATAAACCCCTAAATCAGAGAGTCTGTGGATATTTCAGAGTGACAAATGCATAACAGACTGTGATTTAGTGGTGCTGTGTACTATAAACTCTACAGCATGATTTAAAATACTGTAACATGAAGTCAGTGAAATACACCAGGAATACACACCTCTAATGCAGACTTCATAGCATCTGGCCCTCCTCCAAAGAGTGCCTGGGCCAGAGCTAAAACCAAGGCTGCAGGCGGCCCTCCTTACCCAGAAAAGAGAACGCCAGCAAGGATGCCCCAAGAATCTCTGTCACAGACTTGACTGAGCCCTAGACATTCTTACTGAGTCTAGGTAACAGCGACCTGGATGTGGAAGGAAGATGTCCTGGAGATGAGGGATGCAGGGAGGCGCCAGGGGTTGCAGAAGACTGAGAACCCTAGGCGGAGCGCAGCAGGGTGACAGTGACTCTGGACTCCGGGGAAACATCAGCTCCTTCCTGCCTTGCCCAGGAGCCTGGAATTGTACGGTGTCTGGCTCCATACCACACGAATTCTGGACTTATAAATAGAGCATATGACATCCACCCCCTTACGGCTTTCATATTCTTCATTGAAGAGCTGCAAATTATGTCAGCTGAAGCCATTTGAATATAGACATTTAATACAGCCATTTGACTCAATACCTTTAGACCATGAAAATTTTGCACCTTGTTTTATGTCCCTGGATATGTACCAGTTTCTCCTGGTTTATAGTCTATGAGAACTTGAATAGAATTTGTATCCTCCTGTTGTGTGAAAATTGTATAAATCTTAATTATGTTGAATTGGTTCATAGTGCTTTTCAGCTCTACTATGTCCTTATATTTTTTGGTCTATTCATTCTATGAATTTTTGAGAGTTTGGTGTTGAAACTCCAAATAAACATCTTAATTTATCTACTTAAAAAATAATTGCAATATATGGGGGAACTATATGTAACTTTGTTATGTTTTAAAAAAAACTGGTGAGAATGGCAAAAATAGGCTGTATTTATTTATTTTTGCCATTCTCACCAGTTTTTTTTAAACATAACAAAGTTACATATAGTTCCCCTATATATTGCAATTATTTTTTAAGTACATAAATTAGGATGTTATTTGGGAGCATTACATCTATGAATCTGAGTTGTGTTCCACCATGAGTCCAGGCTTCTTTTAGTTTTGTCTTCATGGTATGTCGTTGTGCAAAAACATAGAATTAATTTATTCAGAAATATTCATTGAGTTTTATCGATGTTCTCAGTCCCAGGGACCCAAACATCCCTGTGAGGATGTACCCCTCTTCAACTTTTGAAGCACCATGCTCCCAGCTGCTACTACAATCAGTTTCATGAATGAGTGTGTTGATTACTAACAGTATATTGAGTATTAATACTTAGCTATGACTAATGCTTATTTAGCTGTAGTTACAAATAGTTACTGCAACGCTATTATGTGTGAGCTAGTGAAGGACAAGGGAGTGTCATGCTGCAGTCCACGAGGTCGCAAAGAGTTGACTGAACAACAACAAATTACATGTCAGGTGCTGTTTGTGTGCTGGGGTTTCAGTGTGATTGAAATAGCCCTAACTGAATGTGTATTTTGATGGAGAGACACCAGTAATATACAAAGTAAATTGTTCAAATGTAAAGCTTGCTGGATGATGACAAAGGCATATTTTTGTAGGGTCTTTCTGGAAAATTTCTGGTTCTATAATTAAACAAAAAACCTACCTCTTTAATCTCTGAGAATAAGGAGACCTTACATAAATGGGGCTAGATTAGGAGCTCGCTAGATGAAGTGAGGGAGGAGGGAGTGAACACATTTTAGGAAGAAAGAACAGGTATGGAGCGGGTATACAGTCCTGGCGGTGAGATGGCATCATCTGTTCAGAAGATGAAGCTCGTTTTCAGAGGTTCCAAGAACATCTAAGTGTTTCTGGGTAAATCACCCAGATTATTTAGATTAGGACACTATTTCCCTATTTCAAGTTCTGAGCTTTAATTTATTGATATTCCTGGGCACCGTTGTATGTCCAAGTGCACTCAGAGGTTTCGTTCCCATTGAGACAGTGCTTTATATACTGGAGTCCGGTGACTGTCTCAGTCTGATTCACATACTTATGTCTGGCCCACCACAATCAGTATTTCTTGGGAGTCTACGCCTGTATTTTTAAGAAGCCTTCCCATGAGATACTCATATTCCTGACATTTGAGGACCTCTGCCTTATGATGTGTGTGTGTTAGCCACTCAGTCATGTTCAGCTCTTTGCGATCCCATGTGCTACAGCCCTCCAGGCTCCTCTGTCCCTGGAATTCTCCAGACAAGAATACTGGAGTGGATCTCCATTTCCTCCTCTGTTGCCTTTAGGATGGCAGGGTCTGATGCTTCCCAAACTCTTAGAACCTCTTCAAGGGCGGCTTGGTAAGTGCATGTTGTTACCTGTCATTCAGTAAATGTTACACCACTGTGTGTCTCCATTAATCCACTTCCCCAATATTGTTGAGAATCTTTCCAATCTTAAGGCAACAAACACTGGTCCAACACTAGGAAGAAATTCACTGGGAAATACACCCAACAAAAGCAGATACTCTGGTGCTCAATCTGATCCTGCGTGTTTTGATGAAAGGATAATGATCAAAAGATCACATTAATGCACTGTCAAATTAGAAGAACTCAGGGATTCCTTCATAATTCTCACTAATGAAGGCTGTCCCGGCATCAGGATTAGGTTTCAATATGGAAAGACAAGCACGTGTGTGGTGCCTGCATGCATGCTAAGAAGCTTCAGTCCTGTCCAAGTCTTTGTGACTCCATGTGACCTCAGGGGAGTCCACCAGGCTCCTCTGTCCATGGGATTCTCCAGGCAGGAATACTGGAGTGGGTTGCCATGCCCTCCTCCACCCACAAATATATGCTTATTAAAAATTGCAAGAAAAAATTAGTTTCTACATAAGAATGTCAATACATATCACTGTTATTTTGAATGAAAGTGAAATCGAGCCTTTAATTTGTTCTTTAAAATAAAAAAGACTGATATTAAAAGTCTCTAATTTAAAGTTTTATAAAACTCTTTTAGAAAACAAATCTGTAACAAATTCAACCTTTGGGAAAAAAAATGAATCAATGAATTTTATCTCTATGAATTCTTTTAAGAGTATTTTGTCACAAATCATGCTTCCAAAAGCATATAGACCCTTCCAACTCTGGCCATTCTCTGTTTAAGGCCATGATTTTGGCCTCTGTGAGGCCTCAGTCTTGATTGGTCTTAACATCCTGAACAAAACAGCCCGCAACCTGTTCGCATGTGCAACGTTTGCCTTGTAGGTGGAACGGCCACCCGGCAGAGGGGCTTCCTGGGCTGCATTCGGTCTCTGCAGTTGAACGGAGAGGCCCTGGACCTGGAAGACAGAGCCAGGGTGACCCCAGGAGTGGAGCCGGGGTGCGCAGGGCACTGCAGCAGCTACGGGAGGCTGTGCCACCACGGGGGCACATGCAGGGAGAAGCCCAGCGGGTTCTCCTGTGACTGCACCTCCTCCGCGTACGCCGGGCCCTTCTGCTCGGATGGTGAGTGTGACATGGGTCCCCCCAGCAAGACTGACCCCACGTGAATAAAAGCTCCAGCAGTTCTTTTCTTTGTAACTATTTAAAACACAAATATTTCCATTCCTGAACACTTTTTTGGGGGAGGGCAAATTGCCTATTTTATGCCCATGACATTACATTACTGAAATATTTGCCTCAGTTCTTTAAAAACTGTCTTTTAATGATAAACCTTCTAATAGTTGCCTCTAGTGGTATAAAGTGTCAGCCGCTCCATTTGCTCTTTTCTATCTACTGTTAATGCTCTTAAATAATACAGGTGTCAACAGCCAGTCCCATGGGGGCAGTTCTCATTTTTAAAATCATTACAAGCATTGTTGTTATTTTTGAAGATGGCCAGCCATGCAAAGACATTTGGGAAGCCTTGTTGTTTGAGCAAACAAATATTATTTAGCAAACAGGACTAGAAATAACTTTTCCATTAAGCATCAATGTGTAACAAAATAGAGATACTCAGGCACCTTGTTCAATGAAATGCCGACTTTCTGTTGGTGAAGTGAAACAGTGGACCATTTTTCAGCTGGTCTTGTTCACTGATCCACGTCATGGAAGAAGGGAAAAGCTGAGTGTAGCACTCAGTGTTCTGAACAGACTTCTGTGAATAGACAAACATTTGCTACACCTTCATTGTTCCTCATAGAAAATTGTCATCCAGCTTAATTCAATTGCTTTACTTAAGTGTTTCTGGACTACTGAACCTTTACCTGAAGGAGACTAACGAAAATTGGCCTCAAACTGAAGCAATCCTACTTTGCAGTAAAAACATTTGGGATTATTTAAAGGAAAGTTGACCAAAATTAACTCTTCAAATCATCTATTTTTCATCAGGAATAACATCATTTAAAATCAACCTTGGGTAATCAACCACTGCTTCTGCCTTTCTATAATTCTCCTGTTTAAAGTTAGAACTAAGACCATTTCTTTACAAGAGCATGTCTTCATTTTCTGAATCTAAATGATTTCCAGGTCATCTTGCAAAGTGTAATCGGGAATGTTATTCTGCATCCACATAGTATATAGGATTTAAAACGAATATTGTGCATAGTAAAAATAAAACAAACAGACAAAACCCCTGAAGCACTGAGTGGAGATGTTGCCACATTATCCATGCACATCACCTGGAGCTCACATTCAGCACCCGTACAGTGAGGAAGGGAAGAGTTCTGGAATCCCAAACTAGTTGCCCCTTCCACCATCCTCTTCATTTTTATACAGATATATTGGGGGTGTGTGTATGTGTATGAATTTAGGATATTAATCCTAAATTAATAAATACTAATCCTAAATGAATAAATCCTAAGTATTAAAATCACTTATGTAAATAAAATGATTTTTTAAAATTTGGATAGTTATTTTTTAAATTTAAAAAGTATCATAACTGAGACCACTGAACAATCCTTGTTCTTCAGTTTTTTAACATAAAATTGTGCTTATCATTTCAGAGATTTCTGCCTATTTTGGATCTGGCTCATCTGTGACTTACAATTTTCAAGAAAATTACTCCTTAAGTAAGAATTCCAGCTCCCACGCGGCTTCGTTTCATGGTGACACCAGGCTGAGCAGGGAAACGATCAAGTTTAGCTTCCGCACAACACGGACGCCAAGCCTACTGCTCTATCTGAGTTCCTAGGAGTGGAGCCGGGGTGCGCAGGGCACTGCAGCAGCTACGGGAGGCTGTGCCACCACGGGGGCACATGCAGGGAGAAGCCCAGCGGGTTCTCCTGTGACTGCACCTCCTCCGCGTACGCCGGGCCCTTCTGCTCGGATGGTGAGTGTGACATGGGTCCCCCCAGCAAGACCGACCCCACGTGAATAAAAGCTCCAGCAGTTCTTTTCTTTGTAACTATTTAAAACACAAATATTTCCATTCCTGAACACTTTTTTGGGGGAGGGCAAATTGCCTATTTTATGCCCATGACATTACATTACTGAAATATTTGCCTCAGTTCTTTAAAAACTGTCTTTTAATGATAAACCTTCTAATAGTTGCCTCTAGTGGTATAAAGTGTCAGCCGCTCCATTTGCTCTTTTCTATCTACTGTTAATGCTCTTAAATAATACAGGTGTCAACAGCCAGTCCCATGGGGGCAGTTCTCATTTTTAAAATCATTACAAGCATTGTTGTTATTTTTGAAGACGGCCAGCCATGCAAAGACATTTGGGAAGCCTTGTTGTTTGAGCAAACAAATATTATTTAGCAAACAGGACTAGAAATAACTTTTCCATTAAGCATCAATGTGTAACAAAATAGAGATACTCAGGCACCTTGTTCAATGAAATGCTGACTTTCTGTTGGTGAAGTGAAACAGTGGACCATTTTTCAGCTGGTCTTGTTCACTGATCCACGTCATGGAAGAAGGGAAAAGCTGAGTGTAGCACTCAGTGTTCTGAACAGACTTCTGTGAATAGACAAACATTTGCTACACCTTCATTGTTCCTCATAGAAAATTGTCATCCAGCTTAATTCAATTGCTTTACTTAAGTGTTTCTGGACTACTGAACCTTTACCTGAAGGAGACTAACGAAAATTGGCCTCAAACTGAAGCAATCCTACTTTGCAGTAAAAACATTTGGGATTATTTAAAGGAAAGTTGACCAAAATTAACTCTTCAAATCATCTATTTTTCATCAGGAATAACATCATTTAAAATCAACCTTGGGTAATCAACCACTGCTTCTGCCTTTCTATAATTCTCCTGTTTAAAGTTAGAACTAAGACCATTTCTTTACAAGAGCATGTCTTCATTTTCTGAATCTAAATGATTTCCAGGTCATCTTGCAAAGTGTAATCGGGAATGTTATTCTGCATCCACATAGTATATAGGATTTAAAACGAATATTGTGCATAGTAAAAATAAAACAAACAGACAAAACCCCTGAAGCACTGAGTGGAGATGTTGCCACATTATCCATGCACATCACCTGGAGCTCACATTCAGCACCCGTACAGTGAGGAAGGGAAGAGTTCTGGAATCCCAAACTAGTTGCCCCTTCCACCATCCTCTTCATTTTTATACAGATATATTGGGGGTGTGTGTATGTGTATGAATTTAGGATATTAATCCTAAATTAATAAATACTAATCCTAAATGAATAAATCCTAAGTATTAAAATCACTTATGTAAATAAAATGATTTTTTAAAATTTGGATAGTTATTTTTTAAATTTAAAAAGTATCATAACTGAGACCACTGAACAATCCTTGTTCTTCAGTTTTTTAACATAAAATTGTGCTTATCATTTCAGAGATTTCTGCCTATTTTGGATCTGGCTCATCTGTGACTTACAATTTTCAAGAAAATTACTCCTTAAGTAAGAATTCCAGCTCCCACGCGGCTTCGTTTCATGGTGACACCAGGCTGAGCAGGGAAACGATCAAGTTTAGCTTCCGCACAACACGGACGCCAAGCCTACTGCTCTATCTGAGTTCCTATTATAAAGAGTACCTTTCCATTATCATTGCCAAAAATGGTGAGTGCTGTTCAGATGAGAGAAAATAGTATCAGAGCGTTAGATCCGTAATAATATGGATAATTCTCATGTTCTTGCTTCTCAGACTACAAACAGGAAAAAAAGTGTGCCTGCTTGGTGTATTCAGTGTTGTTTTTCAGTGCTGTCGGGCAAATGTAATCTAAAAGGATTATTTAAAATACTTAAAATGCCTTTATAGCCTTATAGTTTTGGTAATTTAACATACTCTGTGTGAATTTTTAATTTCTGTAGATAAAATATTTATTATAATTTATTATTGCTAGAAAATCTTTACTGTTCCATGTGATTGTCAGTACCAATTTTCTGGTTCATTTTGAAATAAAATGCCTGTTTGTACATAACAAATATTTCCTTCAAATCAAAGTAGAGAAGTTTTGAGAGAATGTTAACTAATTAGCATTATGTATAAGAAAATGTCCATCTCTTGGTTCTGATTTTCGGCAATAAAGTAGTCATGGGTACATCAGTGCAGGATAATAGTGTGTGGTTTAGGATGTGTGTGCTACAGACACCCACTTACTGTTGTTCTCGTCCCTTTATCTGGGTTAGAGATATAAAATTTTATGAATAAATTGTCTGGGTGAGGAAAACAAAGGTACATACAAACATGCAGATATATCATTTCAACTAAATCAAATATGGCCCAAGGGCACTGAATGCCAAATTAGAAAAAATATTGTTCAATAAGTATATTCCTCCTCACAATATATATTTTGAGCTTGAAGTTTATCTACATATATTTGTTAAACTGAAAGATATCCTATGAAGTAGATTTACTGACATCTTTGCAGGCAATTAAATGAGTAGTATTAACTCTAATAGTAAGTTTGGCTTAAAACTATTCATCTCACCCTAATTTCATTCCAAACTCTATAACCATCACCACTTGAAAAATATTCCTTATCTTTAGTAAAACTGTATTTGATAACAATAATTCCATTCATCAGTTGCATTTCAGGAATGGTAGGCATATTTTTTGAAAGATGAATTACAGATACAGAAAGTTAGGGCAATATTCCACAGTAGTTTGGCACTTCATAATATATTAAACCTTATTATTTTAAGTCAGAGGCTAGTACAAAGATTTGCATGTGCTTAATTACATATTTGACAAATTAAATATTTGCAAGAAAGAGCCTGCTTATTTGCAGCCTATTTGCTCTTAATTTTGGGGAAATGGTGCAATTTCACATGGAAACTGACTTCTAGGAATTATGATGAAAGTGTACAGTCAAATGAACTGTTGTGAATTCTTCCCGAGGAATTAGTAAGTAACAAAAAAGGACTCTGAGTTTTTTTTAAAGGCGTTTTAAAAAATATAATTTTAACTAAACTATAACTTTTCCCCTCTACTTTAGGAAGTTTGCAGATCAGGTACAAGCTAAATAGATATCAAGAACCTGATGTTGTTAACTTTGATTACAAAAACATGGCCGATGGGCAACTTCACCACGTAAAGATTAACAGAGAAGAAGCAGTGGTCTTTGTGGAGGTAATAGAGAAAATACAACCGAAGCAGTGTTTACAGTTAAGCTCCCCAGCGTGACGGACCTGCAGCAGAAACTGGATAATGGATAGATTAAATAAAATCATTCTTCCAGTGCCACCCTAACACAGATCATAGACCATCATATGTGCTCAGTGTTTTTAGCAATAGGATCCGGTTTAAGAGATTAATCGTATTTGATACTTAAAATTGCCAAACTTTCCTATTTGTTTTACTTTACTCAGGTGGGAAATGCTTTTTAGTTTAGCATAATCTACTATTGGCAGAACTGTTGCTACTCTCATGAAACCAGTTTACTTCAGATGGTTGTACATGCAGCCATATTTCTTGCACAGAAATTAATGATCACAATTTCAGAATGAATTTTAAAATGATGTGAGTTATAGCAGAGAAAGTTGAATTATTCACTCTACCAGCTTTTGAAGAAAAGCACATATGTTTCAGCCCTCTAGATACAGGAAAATTTCTTAGTTGAATGACTCAAGTAAAAATACCCAGCTAAGTAAAAATATCAAGATGAAGATAACTTGTATCTTTTTGTTGGTTTTCTCCATTTGAATTTCTTATACAGTGGAGAAAAATAAAGTGATATAAGGGGATAGAAGGTAGGGTGCACTGGTATCTGAGGGTAGCATAAAAGTAGTTTAGAAAATAATATTCACCTGTATAAATGACTGACTTTAAACTTTGTTTTTCTAATCTTTGGGGCCATATTAACAATTGCCTATTTTATCATTTTCTTTTGTCTTCCTTTGCTTCCTGTCCTCTTCTCAATGACAACATCTGTGTGGACATTTGCATCTCATGTAACAATTTTGTAGATTGATGAGAGCATGAGGAGGCAAGTCCACCTGGCGTCAGGTACAGAACTCAGTGCAGTCAGATCCCTTGTACTGGGCAGGATTATAGGTAAGTAAAAGGAATGGCCTTTTGCCTAATCATGATGCATAAACATGGACCAGAAGAGTCATGTTCCAGATATGCGCACGCACGCACGCGCGCACACACACACACACACACACACACAAATTCATCATGCCAAAAGGAACTGCTTGCCTTATTTCAGTTGTGAAGTGAATGACAATCAAGGCAGAAACTGTATTTCCTCAGGGGTGTGTGTAATTGTGAGCCGGGGCATTTTGTGTAAGATGAGCAAGCATCCTCCTTGAATAGTAACGCCATGCTGGTGTCTGCCGTGTGTCAGTCCAGCATAATGAAACACGGTCTCACTCTCACACTTCAAAAATATCAAATAGTAAAGGTATAAATAACACACCATATATCAATCAGCTGCCAAACGTATAAACCATCATCTAATGATAGCACTAGGATTAGGTCAGAAGAATATGGAGGAGAAAGCAATTGCAATTCCGCTGATTAGTGAATATGCTTCCGGTTGTGGCCTGGATCCTCTCTGCTGTTGAAGGCAGTGGCCAGCCACTCCTGCTGACTTATAATATAACCCAGCGTCTGTCTAAATGCCTTATAATTCTTATTTCTATCCACCAGTCACCTGTGATAATAGCATGGAAATAGAAACATACTCTTGCCATTTTAGCATCAAAACATGTGCTTTTTAAATACTTGCCAACAAAGACTAAACGGAAAGAGGGGCAATAAATTTTAAAAGAGATTTTCTTTTTAGATATAAATATGAGGTTGGAGGACTTCCTGTAGTCTGATTTTCATTCCAAGTTTGATATTTCACATTAATCTGGAATATTTTGTCTAAGATAGTAAATGAGATATTTTATTTTTTGACCTTTTCAATTACTTGTACCTTGATATATCTTTTCTTACATTCCCTGTACATAATGTTAGAATCTTGAGAATGCTTGATTAAACCTGTGGGTGAATGATCAGATATTGGCTCTGAGAAGGTTAATACTAAAGTTTACAAATATTTATAGTCTTTCTAGCATTGTGACAAGCACCAATGTTGTATGCTTTTATTCTCCAAATAAAGGAAATATGAATTGAATTGTTCTTCTAGTATGCTAGATGGACATGAAATATATGTGTAAAGTACTACTTAGATATCTGGAAGCTTAACTGGAAAATCCCAAGTGAGTTTAATAGCATAAATCACATAAATTCAACTACAGTAATAAAAAAGATCAAATAATTATAATAAATCTCAATGTCATGAGTTCCTCAGTCTAGCAGGGTCTGAGTTAAGGCATTTTACAAAAAAATGTAAAATTAAAAAGATTAAAAATTCTAACAACTATGCATAATGTTGATAAAATCATATTTTTGAAGAAACAGCATCTTCAAACATAATGCCAGATTTGCTGATGAAAATATTTTGTGTGAATAGAAATATGTTAAATATATTATAAAACAATTGGGAAACTGACCTGCATTCTGTGAGGAAGATTGTATTAATCAAACAGTAGACTAATAACATTCATTATATAGATACTTGTTTCCCTTTTTATAATGAATATTGCAGATTAGTAAGGAATTAAAGATGTTAATGTTTTTACTCAAGAATAGTGTATTATTAAAACTCATATCACTCATGCTGAAAAATAAGATTAAAGTCCAAGTTCCGCAGTGAACTTTAGAGTCTGAATCAATTAATTCTCCAAAGAATATAGGTATGAATTAATTGATATCCTAAGGTGTGAATCTTGACCAAAGACTAACATTGCATGCAAATCATGTGTAATTCAAAGGAGACTAATAATTTATAGTCATATGGTGTGGTATATGTATGCATTTACAACAAAATGTTATGTAGTATATTATTACATTTTAATATGCTATGTTCATTTATGGTAAAAATAGATGCTAAAATGGAGCTATTCGTTTTCCAGAGAGTTGCTCTATCTTGAAGTTTCTATGTTAGTTGCAGTCCTCTAAGAAGCCACTGTCAAGACAAAATTAACCGTGTGAGGGTTTTATCAAGGGGACACTTGTGAAAGAGAATGTGAGGAGAGAGCTTGTAAGACTGCATGTCAGCCTCCTTCCAGTGGGGAGAGAGGGAGGGAAAGTTAGAAACGCCCTGGACTTCAGCTTGGTGGGGGAGCCGAGCCTGTCGGCCACCAGGGGAGTCTCGTGTCTCCAGAGGGTGGGTGTGCCTTGGAGTCCCCGCTGCGGTCAGCTCTTGCCTGGGAACAGCCGTGGGAAGCAAGGCCCTGGCCCAAGCACGAGGATGAGTGTCAGAGCCGGCACCTGGGGCCCTCGGTCGGTTCCTCTCACCCAGCTGGAGGTCTGTAAGGCACATTCTCATGGCCTCGTGCTAACCAACTATGGTTTTCATTTTTATAAGCCCGTTTGGTTCCCTTATCCATTTAGCACATATGCTGGGATCACCTGTTGTGAACACAGAGAATGCCAGTCAGCAAGGCAGACGTTGCATCTGCCCTCACAGAATTTATGGTTAGTGGGCATACAGATAATCATAATACACAATGTTCCAGTGTATCTAATTGAATGTAGTATACCCTATGTTGCTTGGGATAAAATAGCTCCAAATTATTCTCCAAAGTAAAGAAGTTAAACACAGTGGAAGTTCCTTGGCGGCCCAGCGGTTAGGACTTGGTCTTTCACTGCCCATGGCCCTAGGTGCAGTCTCTGTCAGGGAACTGAGATCTTGAAAGCTGCGTGGTGCAGCCAAGAAAAATAGTAAAATACTTACATCATTTTACAATATCTGAATAGTTCTTTTAAGGGAGCAGAAAATAAACATTAACCAATTTTTTTAGAGTTGTCATTTGCCTACATTTTCAACCAAAGACTCAAGGATATGACCATCCACTGCCATTTCAGATGGACCCCAGAAATAAAGGGCATTCTTCCCCTGTTTTTCATACTCATTCCTTACACTTAGGAAGAATCATGGGAATAATTTTGGATTATTGTCACTGTTAATCAATATTACTAGCAGATGTTGAGAGGAGGGTAAATTTTAGAAATCATATCAATCTGTACTGTGATGACATGAAAACCATCTCTAACTCCCTACTACACTTAAAATATTTGAGGACTCAGTAACTTTGGCAGTGATAGTCATTAGTAGTTGGGAGCTGGGTTGGGAAGATCAAGCTTTTTGCCAAAGCAGCTCAATTCAGACACTCCTGTATTCAATAAAGTATATTACATTTGCTTTTCATATTCAGAATTCACTATAAAGTGAAGCTCTGGATTCTGTGTCTGGATACTTTAATATGTTAGGATAGATTTATGATTTATTTGAGTAAAAGCTGGATGATTATTTGCACTCATCCTGAGTGGTAACTTTTGTATATTGGAGGTGATTGATGACCATTAAAGATCATTTATTTCTTCTGAGGCCACAGAGCCAGGAAGTGCTCTTGGATCACTGTGGTGGGATTTAGGCCAGATGTAAATAAAGTCTGTAGTCAGCCAGGAACGGACATCCACTTACCCTGATGAAGAGCTTTGAGAACGATCTCAATGTGTCAGGATCCTTTATGTAAAACCCACTTCAGAGCCCAGAGGTGAGGAAAATATGTGAGCCAGGTAAGTTAAGGGCACTGCAATTGTGTAAATATATCGTGAAACATCTCTTAAGATAATGGAGGGTTTATTTTAAAAGAGAAGTACCATTTGGAGCAAAAAAAATAGAGTCTACTTTAAAATCACTTTTTTTTATTCATCAGGCTGATTTTTTAATATTTTGATAATTAAAACATAGACTATCCTCAGGACTTGGCATGACTTCATCCTTAACGTGGCTCTAGTAATTTCCAGACACAGCTATATCATTTTGAAATTGGCCATACCTAAAAACTTGAAAACAGCCTTTCTCCTCATTGTGATACATGAGCATTGATCAAAAGTGTCATATTCTAAAAGCAGAGAACACTCATGATGTTGAAATGTTGAATCTGATTTTAATTGTAGAGCAAATGGTAAGGTAGATACTGGGATTTTGTCAGAAGCACATATAATCACAAGTATGTGCTCCAGGTGGGATGGGCAAGTGTATGCCGTTGACAAGGATTTGGCTGTTAAACATCATAAAACAGAGATCTACTTACACTTCAATAGAGAGCAAATGACAGAAGCCAAAACCCCAAATCCCAAATTATATATATCAGCTGCCAAAACCTAGGAACCCTCAGACAGTGATAAAACTCAAATAATTTCTAAAATAAAAAGGAGAAAGCAATTGTTTTATTTCTTTAGTTTACTGATGTGCTTGAAAATGTACCTGCACCAGGAATAAGTAAAAAATAAAACCACAATCAGGGCCTTACAGTACTGCGTGAGTGAATTTGTTAAAGACCAGGCATTGACGGATGAGAGAGGGAGAGGATGCAATTGACCGGAGTCCGGATACAGGAACTTCAGGGTGGAGAGAGGGCACAGACACAGCAGAGACATGGGTCCGGCCAGCCCAAGGTCCGCAGCTCTGTCAGAGCAAGGGCAGCGAAATGTGAATTCTGCTCGTGCTGTCTGTTAAGTATAGCCAAGGGCTGGAGATGGTTTCCATGTCATCAGAGTAAGATATTGCTTCCTCAAAACCATCCTCCTTGCTTGGGAGCTGCTAGTAATGCTTGTTAACGATAATTGGACCTAAAAATCGTTCCTACAGTCCACTCCCATTTGTAGAGATGAGGACAGAGAAAACACTTCCTCCATTTCTGTTCTTCCTTCTGAAGAGGCAGACAGTCCGATGTCATTTCTTTGTTAAGTGTGTTCAAAATGTATTAGCTACTGAGGCCAAAGTGAATGATTCCTCAGTCAGCTCCTTTAAGAGACCTACTTAACCAAAGATTACAGAAAAAGACATCTCTCCACGATGTAATTAATCAAAGGAAATATGCAGGTATAAAGTTGTTTGCTAATTCATTAAGCTTTTATTGGGTCACAATTCCACTACATGGAAAAAAAATATCTCTGTTAAGATCGTTACATACTCTTGAAATTGCATA